GTATTTTATTTAGAGTCAGGGTCTTGCTGAGTTGCTTAGGGCCTTGCTATGTTGCTGAGGCTGGCTTTGAACTTGCAATCTTCCTGCCTCAGCCTCTAAGGCCTCAGACATGCACCACCTAGCAGGCCTGGCTGTTTTTTTGTTGTTTTGTTTAATTTCATAGCCCATCCTTACTTCTATTCCTCAGAATTTGTTGGTGTTGGTATTCTGAGTAAAAGGCAACAAAACTTAACTGATATTAAGAACTGACTTAGCTATATGCATGGTGACTCAACTTCGAATTCTGGCTCAGTAGCAAGGAACCGACTAACAAAGTTTCTGAGTGGCCTCATCTTGAAATGATTCTGTAACACCTTCACCATGAATTTTTTTTTCCTGCACCCAAGAGAGTACTTTCACCTGAGATTTTTCTTTGTGCCTAATTAAGCTAGTACACACCTTCAACATGAAGGAATCCCGCATGGTAGCCATGCAGGATAATTCTAATTCCATAATCACCACCTCTGGTCCCTCGGGGGCCTTTTCCAGTATCTTTAAAAGGCCTGGCTTCCTGACTTGTTCCTTAATGAGAGCAAACACGGTGAGGAATAGGAGTGTAAGGAACCAAGCCCTGCAGCACTACAGGGCATTTTTTCAGAGCTGAATTTCCTTGAGGTTTTCTGTGGCCAGTACTTGGTGACTGTTCCATGTGCAATTGAATTGAAAAGAATGTGTCTTCTTCAGCTGAGGTCTAATTGACCAGCATTCTTAAAATTCATCTATATCGTTACTATTTGTCTACATGCATGCATGCAATCATATTGTGACTTTGGAGACTGGAAAGATTACAAGCTCAAGGCCAGTTTCTGAAACTTAGTGAGGCTCTGTATCAAAAAAAAAAAAAAGCTGGGTATGTGGCTCAGGGTTAGAGCAACCCTGGGCTCCAACCCCAATACCCGAATACCCAAAAGGTGGGGGGGAATAAGTTCCTTTGCATGTTAATAGGCCCTTGTTTCTTCAATTTTTTTTTTTTTTTGGTGAGACAGTACTGGGGATTTAACTCAGGGGCACTTCACCACTAAGCTACATCTCCAGTCCTTTTTGGTATTTTATTTAGAGATAGGGTCTTGCTGAGTTGCTTAGTGCCTCACTTTTGCTGAGGCTGGCTTCGAACTCTATTCTCCTGCCTCAGCCTTCAGAGCCTCTGGGATTACAGGTGTGTGACACTGTGCCTGGCTTAATTTTGGTTTTGAACAATTCAGTTGTGCTGAGGTGGTTTTTTTCTTGCATCTGCAGGTAGTTTGTCAAATTGATAAATTCCTTAGCCATCGGATGTGCAAAAAATTTCCTGCTTTCACCTTCATTAGACTCAACTACACAACTTTTCATTGAGACTCAGTTCACTTTTTTCCCCCAATCTCTTTGAATTTCAGTTTTGACAAGCTGTTGATCCACCTTCTAGCACCGATTCTACACCCTTCTAGTAAGTTTTTCAATTATTTTACTTCTCAGCTTTAGAATTTATTTGGTTTTTAATTCCCGCATCTCTAGAAATCCCTTGTCAGACTTTTTCCTGAAAATTCCTTTACATTATTTATAACCATTAAATTTCTTCTTGTAGTGCCAGGGATTGAATGCAGAGATGCTCTACCACTGAACTGCATCTCCAGGGGTCCCCCAATTTGGAACAAGGTCTTGCCAAGATGCTCACAAACTTGTGATTCTCTTGCTCTAACCTCCCTAGTAACTGGGATTGCAGGCATGAGTCACCTGTCAGTCCTTGTGTGCAAATTTCAACGTTTGACCTTGTTTCATTTTCCTACTTAGTTATGACTAAAACTAGACACACATTTTTATTCAACTAGACTTGTCTTCCTGTCATCAACAGGCAATTTTATCACGGGGTGGGAGGTGGAGGGTTGTTTTAGGCTTGCTAGGGCAAGCCCATTTTGCCCTTAATCTTTAAACCTGGGTTGTGGTTCTTTTCTTCTAAAGTATAGTCAGTCCCCTTAAGTGAGAAGCTTGGTGTCCAAGTCCCTCCAACTGGACAGCAGAGCATAGCAGGTCCACATTGAGGGATCAGCAATGAGCGGAATGAGCGGCCCTTGTGGCATTTCATTCCTCCATTGGTTCACCTATTAAAAGGCTAATTCAACTGGATGCAGTGGAATACACCTGTAATCTCAGCTACTTGGGAGACAGAGGCAGGCAAATCAGAAGTCCCAGGCCAGTCAGAGCAATTTAGTGACCCCGATTTCAAATAGGCTGGGATATAACTAACTGGAAAAGCTTCTTGGGTTTGTTCTTTGCCATCCTCCTCACTTGGCCCTGTTACAGAGCTACCGGACTAGTGTTTGCATTACTTTTAAGGTTTGAGGCATTTTAGGAAGGATGATGTAGGTCAGATGCTTAGGGGACAAGATGTACTGTTGGATTTGGCAGCCTCTAGTCACTGGCACCTTTAGCACAAAATGAAGAGGGAATAACAAAAGCCACACTGATGGAGGATAGACCATGGTCCAACTAGGGAGAGCAGGAGGGTCAGAGTACTATTTTGGAGTTAAGATATCCACTAGGCTAAAGTCAGATAGATGGTCTCCCACATTACCTCTGAACACTTCCTAGGAGCTTCCTTGGACTTGTACTGCCACCTGCTGGAAGCTGACAAAAGTGGTGACAACCATTTGCTGAAGGGAACTGACAGCTTTTCTAAAATGGCAGCAAACCCCACCAAATTGAAAACCAGACAGATACCCAGGGGGCCAGATTGCAGGACTCTGATCCCTAATTGCAAACCCTGGCATTTTTTTGGCCTTGCAGGATAATCATCCTCTATCCTCATCCCACAGTCAAGTAGCACAACTGATGGGACAATTTCTGTCTATTACTTATGGAATGGGATAAACAGTACATAGAAGATTCTTGCCTGTATCTCTGACTTAGGGTCTGATATAAACCCAACATAAACTGCAGTCAGCAACTGAGTTGTTAGTAGCAACCTCAGTAGTTCGGACATGTAAAATCCTTAAAAGGCAAGCCGTCACAATGGAAGCTATGGTTCTCTGGGCAACTGGGCTACTAGTAAGATCAAATTCAAGCCTTCCCTTCTCCATAGCAAAGAAACCCACCAAAACCCCACTCACAAGCCAGTTTTACAAATATTTCTCTGGAGCTGGGGATATGTCCTAGTAGGGCAGAATGTTTGCCTTGCATGCCTAACTTATGGAGTGTTTTCTAAAAGGGCACTTTGGTCAGACTTATGCATTGCCACTGGAGTTAGTTAATTCCCCACAATGTCCCATTTCATTGAGTTGGTATTTTAATGGGCTGATCAGGTTTTGGGACGTGGCTGCCTTGGTTTAATATTATATCTGTCACAATGCTCACCATCCCTTGACCTGGCATGGCTTTTGACTTCAACTAAAAGCAGAAATGGGTTGGGGTGTAGTGGTGAACACCTGTAACCCCAGGTAGTTAGAAGGCTGAGGCAGGAAAATTGTTAGTCTGTGGCCAACCTAGGCAACATAGCTCAAGACCCTGTCTTTCAGCTGGGGAGAGAAGCAAACAGGAGGAGGCAGTGTTTACTTAAAGCAGTGCCTGAGCAATGTGCATAATGCCAGAATGAGAGGTTTTTTAGTGTATGATGTTGGCAGTGTTTGTTCCACCCTCAGTTCTGAAGTTTCTACTGGCTCACGCATCAGTTACTGCCAAATCCAGAACTGATGCTCTCAACTGCTGCTGATCCTAGGAGATCTGACCAATGAATGTACTCTTACTCCTCTTTCCAAAGAACTTACTCAGGACATGATACTCCAGCCTGCTACAATTGGAAGAAGCCACCAGTCTTGGAATAAACTTTACATGTCAGCACACAGGGCTGCAGAAACTGGCTACCTCACCCATCTCCGCAGCTGTGATACTTGAAAGCAATATATTGATCATTCAATATCAGATATGGTGGTTCTGAGCAATACAGAGCCTTTGTTGCTAGGCTCTTCAGTGACATTCCACAAGAAATATGATTTTAGTAAGTATAAGTCTGGCACCAGAGTTTAGGACTTTTAATTTGTCCTAAAGTCACTGAAGCAAAAATCATAAAACATTCTGCTTTCCTTTACACCCCCCAACGCAAACAAAACAAAACAAAAACTATTTGTAGGAAAAAAACAGTTTTGTACATGGGATGAAACAATATAAATTCAAAACTTACAGATAAGGGTTAGCTCTATCATTCATCTCTTTAAAAAGTTTATATGAACATCCAGTCAAAACCAACAGGGTATCTCCTTTGAAATGTCATCTATGCGGATTTCCGAGTAGACCACGGGACTGTATACCATCTTGGAATGTCCTCAGAAGGCTCTGTCATTGAACAGGTAACAGAGTTAAAAACCCCAGAGTCCTTTCTTTCAAATGGAAGAGGGAAAGACAGGGACAGAAGAAACTATTCAAACTTCGTCTTCTTTCCTTGTGGCTTGTGGTCTCCTCCTCCCCCTCTGCCTCCTCGGAAGCCTCCTCGCCCTGCAGGAATGCAAAACATCATGAAAGGATGGTGCAAAAATGCCCAAAGTGACCAGAAACTGAATATATAGCACAGGCTCAGCAGTCTGTGTGCTATGTGGAGGACCAATTTTTACCTCCAAAGCCTCCCCGGCCTCTGCCGCCGAATCCACCTCTGCCTCCTCGGCCACCACCTCGGCCTCCAAAGCCTCCTCTGCCTCCACCACGACCCCCAAAGCCACCTTCCCCTTTGGGCTTGGCCCAGTCCAAGGTAACTTTGTTTCCATCAATTTCACCATCTTCCATGGCCTCTTTGGCAGCTTTGGCATCTTCTTCACTGTTGAAGTCTACAAAACCAAACCTAAAACACCAAATGAAATCACCCATTATAAAGGAAATACATACTAATAAGTTAACTCCACATGTCACCCCACAGAAAGTAGCCTTGTTCAACTGAGAAAAGATCTGAGTGACAGATCATCCCTACAGAAAATCCTAATTTGCCAGTTAAATCCTAAAATGTCTGTCTCACAGAACAACCAAATACACACCTCAGTAGAAACAGAAGGTAAAGTAATGCTGTTCTGTGAAATGTCTCTTCTTCTCGTGCGAATCCATAAACTGCCACCAGTTGACAGAAAGGAGCTCAATGAGAAGATACATAAGAACCAAATTCTCCACCCAGGACATCAATATGAACAGAAGCAATGCTGCCCATTTCCCATGCCTTACCCTTTGGAGGATCCAGTTTCCCGGTCAGTGACTATCCTTGCACGAACAGAACCGTCAAATGATTCTTTTAAGGTTTCTTCGGTGGTATCTTCAGACAGGCCTTTGACAAACAGAGTTTTTGATGGCTCTGTGGAAGAAAAATAAATTGTGTATTCTATTTTTAAGTCACATTCATATGACAGTAATTTTGTGCAACGTCCAGTATGCTTTAGTACAAAAGCAGTTAAAAGCAACTTAGCCAACTAATGCTTAATTTAAGGCTCCTATCAACAGCCTTTTAAAGTTTATTTTGTATTACCTAAGGACAGTCAAGTTTCTGCCTCACGTCTCAAAGAAAACAAAAGCAAACTGAAGTGTGTACTGCCCACCAGGTAGGAGTCAGTGAACCACAGGCAAATTTGTTGTTCTGAGTTGACATAGCTGGATCAGAACTTGACTATCTAGAGGAATTTTCTTGATATTTCATCAATTATTTCTCAGGTAATCAGTCATCATATCCAGCTATCACTCAGTGATAAAAGAAAAATAGGATCATCTCAAGATTTGTAGAAAAAGTAAAAAATGGCATTAAGTTCATGCAGAGCACCAAGGAAGATACCATTCCCTAGCCACACCACCTTGCCAATGGGACTTACGGCTTCTTGCATTAGGCGATCCCCTGGGTCCTTGCAACTCCAGCCTGATTGCTCTCCCCTCGATTTCCCTTTTATTACAGGAATTTAAAGCTTCTTTTGCATCTTCAAACGAAGCAAACTCTATAAATGCATACCTGAGGATGGACAGCCAATACTTAGCAAGTTAGAAAACACATGGTTTTTCTACTATCAGACAATGCCCCAGGCCTTTTCCCTCAAGCAGGCGCTTCAATTTACACTCATTTGTGCAGCTAAAACCATTCCACTCCTCTGCTGACAGGATCGAACCCAGAGCCTCATGCTTGCTAGGCAAGCGCTCTACCACTGAGCTATAGCCCCAACCACCTTTATTTTAGATATAAAGACACTCTTATAGCCCACTCCTGACAACCAACATACTTATTTCCTTTGTAGCGCTGGGGACCAAATTCAGGGACTCATGTGTCCTAGACAAATGCTATAACCCGAGCTACACCCCCAGGCCCCAAGCCTAACATAAAGACATTTTACCCTTTAGATTTGCCATTTTGGTTCTGGGGCACTTTGATAAAAGTTGCCTTCTCAAATACTTCCTGAAGAGTTTCTTCTGTTGCATTGTAAGAAAGGTTGCTTAAAACCAGAGTTTTTGATTCACCTGCAAATAGAGATGTCATTCTTAAAAATGAAAGTGGTTCCCAGCTACAATTACAGGTAAAATAGCATCCAGTTCCTGAGGACCAACACTTAAGAATGAATGTACCAAGGCTGATGCTAGTGAAAGCCTAATTCTGTCATTCAATGTACTGAGCAGTCATTGTATATTGGTAATGCCCTGCTCTAGTATATTCTTTATTATTTTTTTAAATACTTTTTAGTTGTTGAGGAACCTTTATTTATTTGTATGTGGTGATGAGAAGAACCCAGTGTCACACATGCTAGGCAAGCGCTCTTCCACTGAGCTACAACCCCAGCCCTCTAGTACATTCTTTAATATTTCATATCTTCATAAAACAGTGATATTTTCATAATATATAGGCTGAAGTTACTTAAAACACAAAACATCTAACAAAAGAAGCTAGACTGGCCTACCATTTTTCAATAAAAAAATATTTCAGAGAGCTCAGTAGTTTAATTTGCTGGATCTTCACCCTCCTTGATTACACAATAATTATAAATTTATTAGGAGATACAAACGATTTTCCACCCTCAATTCTATAATAAACCCATAAATTCTTACCACTCCAATTGTTATTCTTTCCACCTCTGTAGTCTTGATTTTGACCTTTCTCTCCAGTGTAGTAGAGGGATACAGATCGACCATCAATTTCTGTTCCCTGCTTTTCTTCAAAGGTTTTCTCTGCATCAGCTTCTGTCTTAAATTCAATATAAGCAATCCTGCAAGGATTATTGAATGGGAAGAACATTAACATGTTTTGCCCTCAACAACACAGACTTTCCTTCAGTTCTGAGCAGTAATATCAAGTTAAACACTAGGAAACACATTAAAGGTTAGGGTTATGGCTCTGTGGTAAAGCACTTGCCTAGCATGCGTGAGGCACTGGGTTTGATTCTCACCACCACATAAAAAAATAAAGATATTGTGTCCACCTAAAGTTAAAAAATAAATATTAAAAAAAAGGTATTGTGTCCATCTACAACTAAAAAAAAACACATTAAGGTGATTATTGTGCAAATACGAAAGCATACACAAAACTGCAACGGATGCTGATGTACACAGGACCACTGTCACATGCAGCCCACATGCTCTTGAGGACCTCAATGCTCAGGACCATACCAATATTGATGGAAGTGATGCATGTCTTAATCTGGACTATCATTATGTGGCATGACTGCTCTTAATACAGAATTATAAGGTAGGAGCACTTCTTACTCCTTCATATGTACATTATCTCATCTTTGAAAACTGTTACAAATTAAGTATAGTATTCCTATTTTATAAGCAGGAAACTGAGCCACATTTATAGGTTAAGCTTGCTCAAGATCACACACCTACAAAACTGGACTATGATTTGTGTCATTAAGCAGGGAAGTGTCTTCTTTTTGGTACTAGGGATTGAACGCAGGGAAGCTCAGCCACTAAGCCACATCCCCAGCCCTTTTTTATATTTTATTTAGAGATAGGGTCTTGCTGAGTTGCCCAGGACCTCGCTAAATTGCTGAGGTTGGCTTTGAATTCATGATCCTCCTGCCTCAGCCTCCTGAGTTGCTGGGATTGCAGGTGTGCACCACTGCACCCAGCTGAAATGTCTTAATAAAAACACAAAACTTTTAACATTCTAAGAGACACAAAACATACCCTTTACTCTTCCCATCCTTGCTGACTAATCTGATCTCCATGGCATCTTCAAACACTTCTTTTAATTCATCCTGAGTGACTTTGTAGGGGAGGTTTTTGGCCAAAAGTGTTCTTGCATCTCGGTCTACATTTAAAAAGAAACCATAAAAATGAACCATGGTATGACCGACAGACCAGAGGAGGAAAAAAACAAAAATAACACTAACAGCACAATTGCATACAAGAAACTTAGATGACAATGTAAAAGGTACTGTTCTAAGTATGGATGTACATCTGTGGCAAAGCACAAATACCTCCATGCTGTCACAGCTGACAACTATCTACACTAAAATATTTAGAATACTAAATCTAGGGTAGATGCTCACTTCTTAAACTAAAATTTATGAATACACAATCTATAAGATGTCCAATCTATAAGGAAAAAACAAAGGACATAAAGAAAATTAGTAGGAATGTATTATAATTTAAGAAAGGCCCTTTATAATTATTGATATGTTGACACAGTAGGAAATACATCTGACCTTATAAATCAAGTCAAAATTCAATGGCACCAAAAATTACCTTCAGACTATGTGTAAAAGTATACATGAAACATAAGTTAATCTTGTGTTTAAGACTCACATTCCACCCACCCAGAACATAACCCCTTCCCCATTCCAAAATACTTCTGGGTCCCAAGTATTTCAAACATCACAAGTTCACTCTGCATATAATTCTTTTCTGAGTAACACTGTTCACGCTTGCCTAAGTCAAGAATCCTTAACAACAAAGGTAGTGCCACATGCACTGCTGTCAACAATCAACACATTGAATTCTCATATTAGGAAGAATTTACGAGAAAAGGTTTTTAAAAAAAAACAAAAACCTGAAAAGTCTATCTCCTGAATCTACATTTGACTTCCTAGACACATTTGGATAATATAATCTCCAACGCTTTACATACCTTTCTTACTGTCTTTTCCTTTTGGTTTCTCTAGTTTAATTTCATTGCCAAAAAGTTTTAAACCAGTGAGTTCCAAGGCTTTTTCCAGATCTTCAGCAGATTCAAAATCCACATAGCCAAACTTCCTTTTAAAGCAAACAATAAAATTACAAGTGATGAGAGCAAAAAATAAAAAACAGACAAACTGTACACATACGAATACCAGCAACATTATAGATAAAGCACCTACAGTGTTAATAAAGTTATGGCTCTGCAAATTTCAGCTAAAGAACAAGATCTAAATACCAATATTTAATATGCAATTCATCTTTCATGTCTTCCTGTGGGTCACACTTATGTTATAACATAGTAATAGCTTACAAAGCAACCTGTTAAAACACTTAGTGTGGAGGTCTAATAATTTTGGCATTTCCAAGAATATAAACATCACATTTCCAAAACTATTCTTAAAAATTATTTTACAGCTGGGCGTGGTGGTGCATGCCTGTAATCCCAGTGGCTCGGGAGGCTGGGATAGGAGCATCACAAGTTCAAAGCCAGCCTCAGCAACTTAGAGAGACCCTGTCTCTAAACAAAATATAAAAAAGGGATGTGGATGTGGTTCAGTGGTTGAACACCCCTGGGTTCAATACTCAGTACCAAAAAAAATTTTAAAAATAAAGAATTGGAGATATAGTGCAGTGGTACATTATCCTAAACTCAATCCCTAGAACTACAATAAATGAATTAATTTCAAAAATTTTAAAATGAATTTGACTTATTATGTAGATTACTTTTATTATTATGTAGATTACTTATTATTATGTCAATTATGTAGGTTTCAAAATTGGGGATTCTGTAATTTAATAATCTAATGGTCCAGTTCATTAATGTATAATCTGTAAGATATTTTTGGATGCCAGGCTAGGGTAACTGGGAAAAAGCACTTGCAGATTCGCATGTAACAGTGTGACATTTACCTAGTTGTTCCAATTCTGACATCCACAGCAGCCAGATCATTTTTCGCAAAAAGTTCACTGATACCAATTTTTAGTTCAAGGGCAGATTTGTTAGAATTCAGGTTTCCAACGAAGAGATTAAAAGATGTAGTTGGTTCTGTGCCTATACAGAAAGTGAACTCTTATTATTAGACTACAAAGCCCGGTACAAATCAAATTCCAGCACAAAAACTTCTACATATAGCACATCAGTATACTGCAAGCTAACATCAGGTGTTTCAGAATTAAGTCCCTTTATAGTTCATCATTTGTGCTATTACTATTTTATCTCACCCGCCTCCCTCCTCATTTGGTGGATTACCTTCTACTTTCTGTTTCTTTGCTTCAGGGGCTGCCTTCTGTTTGGCCATTTCCTTCTTTCGTTTTCCAGGTGCTTCTTTGACAGGCTCTGGAACAACATGCCACATATACTTACTTAAGTACTTTCTTTAAACACAGCTCAAGTCAATATACTTCAGAACCTAGTTTGATTACCTTCTTCCTCCTCCTCCTCCTCGTCATCCTCTTCATCATCATCTTCATCCTCCTCGTCCTCATCCTCATCATCTTCATCCTCCTCCTCCTCTTCCTCGTCCTCCTCAGCCATGCCCTTGTGCTTCACTGGTTCGGCTTTTGGAGCAGCTTTCTTTCCTTTGGCTGGTGTGATCTCCATAGGTTCTTCTTCTTCAGAGTCTGAAAGAGAAGCCAGCCACCATGTCAGAAACTCTGGAAACCTCCCCAAACCAACACGAGTATGGAAAAGCTAAAGAAAAGGAAATGCAACCTTGCCACCATGCTTAATTAAGCTCCATCAAGGTATCTTGCAACAGAACTCCAGAAATTACAAAAAGAACTCACCATCTTCCTCCTCGTCATCCTCATCATCATCCTCTTCATCCTCATCATCATCCTCCTCGTCATCCTCATCATCCTCGTCCTCTGAGGCAGCAGCTGCTGCTTTCATGACTTCTGGTTCAAATTCATCCTCTTCCTCGTCATCTTCATCCTCCTCATCGTCTTCATCCTCCTCACTGTCACCCTCCTCCTCATCATCACTGTCTTCCTTCTTGGCATTCTTGCCATTTTTTGCCCCCTTGGCTGGGGCAACAGCTCCCTTCTTACCAGGGGCTGCTGCCAATGCTTTGCAAGGAGTGGCTCCCTTCTTGCCAGATGCTGCAACTGCTTTGGCTGGTTTAACTGTCTTCTTGGCTGGAATGGCTGCTGCCTTTTTGCCTGAGGTGACAGCTGCTTTCTTGGCAGGTGAGGCAACTGCCTTTTTTGTCAGGGAAACCACCACCTTCTTTACTGGTGCTGTGGTAGCCGCCTTCTTGCCTTTTTTCTGAGGGACGACAACCTTAAGAATAAATAAAAACACTAAATATTTCCACACATTCAAACAGCCACGGTCTTAAAAATTGTTAGATCTTGGCATTGCCTGTGGTTCAAGACTATACCCATGTTAATCTTTAGTAAGATTATGTGTCTTATGTCTGTGATGCCAGAGTTCTCAATGCCAGGTAAAATACTCAAGCATAAAGAATCCTTCCTAACACTTAAAAATATTTTTGAACCAAATGTCTAATTCCTGCATCTTATGCTTTTGAAATCTTAAAACTTATCACTTGTAAAGGTTAATCTAAACCACAGTGAGTGTTTAAGGATTATGCCAAATACACTTAATCATTCAAAACATTACACCCATTAATTTAATCATTTGGGGCTCCCAGAGTGGGTGGTAGTAATATAGAGCTTGATTAATAAAAAGTTTAATTCTTAAGGCCCGAAATAAAAAATAACAAACTTTACAACCCCTGTAAATTATAGGACAAGTGAGCAAATTATAATTTATCTCGTCTTACAAGATGCTTTTTATTAGTTTTAGCAGGTAATTTTATCATACTCCCAAAAAAAACATGTGTGAGGTCCTGGGTTCAATCCTCAGCACCACATAAAAATAAATAATACAATAAAGGTATTGTGTCCATCTACAATGAAAAATATTTTAAAAAATGGAAGCACAACTCTAGGTCAGTTGTCTTTACAGTGAGCAAACTGGCAGAAGAGCTTAAGAGAGCCAACTATTAAGCTATAACTTAAGGAAGATCGTTGCCCTCAATCCAGATACTTAGTGATTGCTTCAAAGTTTATACATAATGGGATAAAGACCAATTATTCTTGCTTGAAATTTAGGAATCTGGAAAGGTTCATGAATATAACATTCAGGTTGGCCACTTACAGAACAAGAGCTTTTCCTTCATTTTAGCATGTGAAGGCAAGAAAATACATTAAAACTGGAAAGATGTAATGATTTAACATACCACACCACACAAAACCCTGAAGAGGGGACTTGAGAAAAAGAAGCCCCTCCCAGATACTGTCTCAAATTCACATTCAAATACATAACCAAATGACAATATGCCAATGAAGAGCTTTTAGCTCCACAAAATCTTTTTGCCAATACCTTCAGATATCCACCACCACCTGCTTTAACTCTCTGATTTTACACAGTATTTTTTTGAGATAGGACCTAAATTGCCCAGGCTGGCGTCTAGCTCAGGATCCTCCTGCTCTCAGTCTCCTGGGTAGGTGGGATTACAAGTGTGTGCCACTGCATTGGACTTTAACTTTACGCAGTTCTGTACTGAGTTGATAAAATTACCTCTTCTCCACTGCTGTCATCTTCTTCATCTGAAGATTCCTCATCTTCACTATCTTCTTCTACCTCCTTTGGGGGAGGAGCCATTTTCTTAGGGTCACCTTGATTTTTACCGGCCTAGAAATGGCCACAATTAAAATATTACATTTCTATCCACATTTCAAGCCATACTTTTTTTTCCCCTGGTATTGGGGATTGAATCCAGAGGAGCTCTACTTTCGAAGCTATAACCCCCGCCCTTCTGTATTTTTTTGAGACAGGGGCTTGCTAGGTTGCTGAGGTTAGCCTCAAACTTGCAATTATCCTGCCCTGGGCCTCCCCAGTCGCTGGCATTACAGGCCTGCGCCACCCGCCCTGCATCGAGCCATTCCTATTTTATCATGTTTCTCCACAGTAATTCAACCATCTCCTTTCTTAGATTCCGTTTTCTATGAGCATAAGTTCACAGTGAACATCAATACTAGCGGCACTGCTAGCAGCGCACTTTTTCTATCAGGTTTGCAAACAAAACCAAACTAAATAAAACCATCATAAATAGGTAAAAAGGGCAACCTTAAGAAGTATTTCTTCCCTTTCTCAGTTAGGCCCTCTTGTTTTAAAAAGCCAACTAGTTATGCACAGCTTGTCGGCAGTTCTGGCCTTAATTCAATGTGAAGATCTTAAAGGCACCTTGGGATATTACAAATCTCCCTTTAACCGAACTTGGTTCTTCTCATTAACTTCCATTCCCAGACCTATCGGGACCACGTGGGTGCATCCGCCACGCCACCATGTGCCCGCAGCCCAGCGCCTCCTGGTGCCCACCACGTGCCGGCCCGCCGGGCCCAGGCGGAGAGGTCCGCAGGCCGCCGAGCCTCCCACCGAGGCCAATCCTGCTGTTGCCCGCCCCAGGGCCCCGGCCCCTCCGAAGACTCGGAGCCCCACGCGGAGTGGCCCACGTGGCGGGCCGCGAGCCGGGACACGTGCGCCAGGAGGCGGGGCCCAGCTCGCTCCGGTCGCAGGAGTTCAGCCTCATCCCCACGCGCCGAGACGCAGCGCCCCCTCCCCACACCCCGCCGAGGCGTTTCGCCGCCAGTCAGCGGCCTCCCGCACCTGCCTAAGCTCTTCACTTCACCACCCGCTAGCCAAAAGCCGCGAGACCTCCGACCAGTCGCGCGAGACTTCCCGCAGCATGGCGCCCTCGAACGCGCCCGGGACTGCGCGCAGGCCCTCCTCCCCGCGGCGCCGTGCGCGCGCGTCCTTTGGAAAGCAGGCCTCTAGACGTAGCTGCTCGGGCACCAGGCCTCTTACCTTTGCGAGCTTCACCATGATGGCGGGTTATGACGGCGGAGTGTGTGGCGGGCGAGTGGCGCAGATAAACCTAGAGGAACTGAAGCAACGTCGATGGCGGCCCTCGGGTACAGAAGATGCCGGAGCACGTACCCCTAGCTGCCAGCTACAGCTAGAGACTGAGGCGAAAGACTGAGCCTGCCCAGTAATCGCTTCTGGAAAGGCGACGACGGCGCCCCCGTGACTCCGCCTCGACCAACCACCGTTCGCTCCCGTCCTGTGACCCAATCGCGAGCCTCTAACCCAGGACAACGCGGGGCGGGGCGCGGGCGGAGTGGGCGGGCCGAGGCTGTCAGGGAGGGGGAGAAGCTTGGAGGTAGTGCTCTGTGGGCGGAACTCGCTTTGTGCAAGGCCGGCGCTGATTGGCCGGCGTACGCGCGGGTTCCCGAACGTTTCTGCGCTGCCTGCTCTCGCGGCGCCTGCGCCCTCTAACTGGAGTTTTTTGGCGCCGGCTGGGCCCAGAGCGCGGGGGCGACGTAATCGCGCGGTCTCCTATTCCTGGATACTGCTAGGTCCTATAGGCTCGGTCGGCCTTGGAGTTCACGGAGGCGCCGCGCACGGCCCCAGCCTGCGCTTCTCGCCGGGCCTCCAGGCGGCCATGGAGAAAAGGGTTCGCTCTGTGTTCCTGCTGATGAGCCCAAAAGCGCCAGAAGTTCAGGGCCCGCGGAGTTCTCTGGCCTCTCGGGATGAGCGTGGATGAGCTGGGGGCCTGAAACATCCCCTGGCTGCAGGTGATTCCCTCCCGGGCCACGCGCCCGAAGCTGCGACCTGATAGCTGGTGATAAAGGCAGTAGTGTCTGTTCATGAGCAGTGCACAAGCAGCCCGTTTCATACCACTGTATGGGGGGCAAGCTCCAAGGGGACTTCGTGGAGGTGACAGAGCGGGTGGGCCGAGAAGAGGGACGGGGCAGGCTTACCACAAAGTTGGGCCTTTGGCCACCCACAAGTTCCTTCTTAGTTACTTGGTAGTAATGCACCCGTTAAAAGGCGGTGGCTGCCAAGTCATTAAGTCAGTAGAGCCAAAGGGAACACAGTCTTTTGAGTTATGCTTTTGCCAGGTACACAGATAAGTTGCCTTGTGGGAATCAGCAATCCAGAGCACGTCCTTCCATAGCTAGGTTATTTCCGGGACATCTGATTCCTATCTGCCCCCACCGAGCCAGGATACCTGCAGCTCCGGAGGTGTTGGTTAAAAATCGCGCTGGAGGACTGGGGGTAGGCCCCTGATAAGCGCTTGCCTAGCATGCAGGAGACTTCGGGTCCAATCCCCAACATCGAAAACAAAAATCTC